TGAATGTATTTTTCACCGATTTGGTATAGATATGACAGAATAAGTCTGATTGGGATTAATAACATCTCTTAAATTAATAAAATATAAAAGAAAATTACATATAAGTATGAGTTTATATTTATTTAATTTATTGTAGCACATACAAATATCAATTTGTTCGAGAAACATATGCAAAGTATAATAAAGTATGTAAAATGTATTACACTTATATTTATATAAAATAAACAACCGTTTACTTAAAACAAATAAAAAACTAAAAGGAACAATTTTTAATACTAATTTCAATAAACACAACCTTTTGTACTTTTTTCAATAATCTTTGATACTTAAGTTTACAAAGTAAGTAATTTTTCTTTATACTCGCAATATAATATATTATTTCTCTCTTTCTTATTATCTCTTAATAATTGCAATAGAATTCAGTCTTTATCGTAATACTTAATATATCAAAAAATGAACTTACTATCCAATATTTCATGTAACATTAAATTTTGAGTGTGGAAGTTTTTTACTTTTTTGTGATTGTTAACTGCAATTCGGCTATTTCTGCTGTAGCTATAGCTGCACGTAACTCGTGCTTCTGCATTTTTTTCAAATGCTGCTCTTTTAAAGCACACATTTTTTTTTCGTGCTCTATTTTTAATGTATTCAATTCCACTTCCTGATCAAAAAGCTTTTGAATTCTTCGTGTTTTCAGTGAAATTTCATTTTCGTCATCATTGGAAGGTATTGCACGCTTTATTCCACGTTTTATTAATGATAACTTCTCTCCACTCTGCTGTGTCTTCTTTGATTCTATAAAAAGGAGAAAGAGAGTATTAAATAATAAAATATGTTTTTGGAGAGTTATTGTTATCAATTACATTAAATATTAATTTAAACGTAATAATAATAAAATTATTAAATAAAATTACTAATTAATAACATTATTATAAATTATTTAAATATTAATGTGTACCTGTTCCTAAGAAATGTTTAGTGCTTGGTGTCATGTAGCTCGAAGAGCTGTCTGATGGCTGCAATGATGCTTTTTCTGCATGCATTTTTTTTGTATGTTAGGTGTAATGTTTTCTTCTGTTATAAAAATAAGAATATTAATTTTGGGCAAATTAATGGTCTGATACCTATGTACGTGGTTAAAGATGATAAGATCGAGCTTACTATCCGAAATTTCACAACAGTTGTTGTTACCAAGCATGTCGTCATCATTGCCTTCATCGCCTTCTAATGTAAGGTCGACATTTGCAAGATCACCCTCGACCACAAAATCCATTATTAGTGTTTCTCGTTCTGAAAGTATAAAATATATTTTACATACCGTTATATTAATTCGTTACGTTATTAACGTGTGTATATCAAGATATTATAAATGATATTAAGATATAATAATTAAAAGTGTGTTTGGTATTAAATTTTTAATATAATGTAAAAAGATGTATACTTTTGACTTCTTCGTCGTTTAAATTAGAAGAGTAAATTGCTG